TGCTATGAGAAAGCAGGTCAAGGTTCTGCACCAGGGGCAGGCTTATTAGTAAACCAAACCTTGGCTCGGGGCTCAGTAAGAGACTGTGGGGTTCTGTCATTTAAAACACTCTCTGTAGATTCTCATTCCATCTCAGTTTTTTCACCACATCTCAGAATTGACCAAATCCTTCTAGGACAACAACGTGTTTGTTTAGTAGGACGACTTATTAAAGATGGGATAAAATGTCAACTCAGTAATCTGGTGATGTACTGAACTGTTCAGAGAGTTATTAGATTTTCTAACAAAAGAATGGAGGCCGACAGCAGGTCACACCTCTTTCTGTTTTTGTTACAGATTTTAATCATTTGAGGGAAACATTTGTTTCAGTTTCCCCCTGCTGTGTTGTCTGTTGACTCCAGACTCCGTGGTGGCTTTCCTCTCATTTTCCTTATAATTATTTGTTATATATACTTGATAGAAAACAAACCTGGCTCACTATTGGGTCTACTTTTAGACCTACCGTTAGCTGTTGATGAGCCACTGGCTGGTAATGTCTGGATATTTATTTTTCATTTATGAAATCACGTACATTCTAACTGAAACCAGTTTTAAAAAGCATAAAAATATATACGTGTAGGAGAAATAATTTCTAGTGGAAATTAATCACAGCCTTCTTCTTCTTTTGTCGTGTGTCACAGGGGAAAAAAACACCCTTGAATAATAATGTCTAAAAATGTTTGACAATGGAAATAAGATTGTCAATAAAACTACAGTTATTTTCTTACTTCATTTTTTCACCATATAAATAACCTTGACGTAAAACCTTAAACTTAAAGCAAATTAAACTAATGACAAATGCATCTAAATTATTTGCTTTTTTTATTCACAGCTGTAATTTAACCACAATAATGTCAGAAATGTGTTTTTGCCCAGTTAGCTCTACACAGAGCATCACATACAGTACATGCAGTACAAATACACAGTGCTGTATATATGCAAAAGCATATAAGCAAAAACTATTTCTATAACTCATCAACCTTAAACACTTAAACTAACGACATCATGGACACGGACTCACATTTCATTATACGTCAACTACATACATTTTGATGGAATCCTCCGTCATCCAGGAACTATATTTGAGAACAGGAAACCAGATTTGTCCTTGAACAATGTCCCGAGTTTTTCAATAACAGTGAACCAGTTGGGCAGTTTACTCTGGATCAAAGTCAGACCTTGAAAGGTGTTTTTTTTTTTTTCTTCTGAAGCAGCTTCCATGTTTCGACACCTGAGCGATGTAGCATTGCTGTGTGTCTGTGATACGCCAAGCCAATTTACGGGCTCGGCAGGAGAGCTGTCGCTTCTCATCACAATGCACAACCACAGGACACAGTTTCACTGTGTCCTTTTGCTCCTGCTCTCCGCTGCCAAACTCTGCACTAAAAGTGTAACACAGTGTGTGGAAGTGTGCTGGAGCTGGAAACACCTCCACCTCCACTGTCTTTTACAAGAATATACGCTATCACAGAATATCCTGTGAAAGACAGATTTTTCACTGACACCTTGATGAGATCACAACTATGTTATATTTATATCCAAAACGTATATTTATAGATAACTCATGTAAGACATGGTGTAATTAAATGTGGGAGGAGCTTCTGTTTCAGGTCTGAACATACTAGCTCACATTCAAACAAACATACTGTACACCTACTGATAGAAAATACATGGACTGGCAATATTAGCTCTTAGCTATTAGCTCTGCTTTAACAGCAGTTAAAAATAGTAGTATGGCACTATTATTATTATTATTAGTACAGTTCTGCAGTGCTGCAGTACTGGTAAAGACATTTTAATATACTTTTTTTAGATGAAGCAGCAGGTAAATCTGACAATAACACTTTACTTAAGGACAGTTCAGCAGCTAACCACTTTTACCAGGGGTTTAGCTTCGACTATAATGAATACCAAAAACACCAAAGAGAAATGTAGCTATCTCCTTAAGTATCCTCTCATTTTGTGAACCTTGCAGATATGTAAAATACATCAAGTCCAGATTAAAGAAGAGAAGGAACCACGTCCAGTAAATCCAACCACAGTCCTTATCACATCCATCCTCTTTAAATCCTTTAGGCCTGCAGTAAGTCAATGTATAACACGATTTAATGGTCCCTCTCTAAGATGGCTAACACAATGTACCGGGGCACAATACGCCGAGCCCCACATCCCTGCATGTTTGGAGTCGCCTGTCGTTCACTAATGGTGCTAATTAGCAAATTAGCCTTATTATACCCAGGGCATAAGCCAATTTAATTAAACTGATTTCTGTTTTTAAAAAAGAACGCTCGTAAAAACACACACACACACACACACACACAGCATTCTTCCATTTACATGCATTGAGAAAATGCACAAAAGCTCCTTTGTTTATCCTGAAATTTGGAGAGGGGTGTGAAGAGCTGGCAGAGAATCTGTGTGGTGAACTTGAATCAGTGTGCATTCACACATGTGTACGAGAGAGAAGGGACTGAGAAAAGGAAGAGGGAGAGGGAGAGGGAGAGGGAGTGTGTGTCAGCAGCAGGTTGTTTTGTTTTGGCCCAACAGCCCGGCAGCTAGCAGATGCCTTAGTGCCTCTGGGCCTGGAGCGTTTCTCCTCCGAGCCTCTTCTCCAATTGACTCATTTACCCACAGCGCAGTCTGCTTGTTTCCTTCCCACATAATGGGCTAATTACAGCTTTAATGGTTCCATAAAGTCTTTTTTCCACCTTTTTCTTTTTCTTTTTTTTTTCTTACAGCTTTTGTACTTTTGTACTTTTTGGTAATGTTTAGGAGACATCCCAGGAAACCCGAGATGGCACTTTAAAAATAGCAAGAAATATTGACATTACTAATGGTATGGTGTCACTTTGTGTTTTATTAATCTTAATTCATAATGTTAATAAATGTTAAATATTCCAAAAGTCAGTAGAGTTTACTAACTGTACTGACCTTCCTTAGTCTAAGGATAAAAATATATACATAAAAATCCATACTTATACTGACACACATCACTTTTACTGTGTATCAGTGGATTTGCTGGGCCCCACAATAAGGACGAAATAAACCTCCTGTCACAGGTCGTCCCTAATATTGGATTGAGGAGATCCAGGGACTGTATTGATTTAAGACGATTAGACTCGGTGTAGTGGCTCAGTTACAGCAACAAATCAATCTGAAAAGTTTGAAAATTGTCATGTTTATGTTTTTACATCAGAACTTTTCAGACTCGGCAACAACTTCTAGTCATTCATTGTCCAACTCCTTGGGCCGTTACAGGGTGTGTCAGTGTGTGTCTGTAGCTGACCACAGTAGCTCCAGATTGGTCTGCTGCCTCCACTCTACCCCCTCTGCTTCAGGCCTGGATGTGTCATATATTCACAGCATTAATATCTCCAAAAACACAAGTGTTTTGTGGAGATATTAATACTTTTCCTGGAGCGAAAAAAAAAAAAAGCTTTCACCTGCAGCATCAACAAGGTGTTTTTACCTAAAAATACTTTGGCACATCCTCTGTATACACCCCCCACCCCCCCACAACCCCTCCAAAAGAAATTGGTTGTGCAGGAAAATCTCACCGGATTCAGACATGATTCTCCAACTCTGATCACATAGAGATACAAAACACTTCAAATCTGCGGAGTTTTAATGCTCCATTTGAACTACAGTGAACTGATGTAAACTCATCAGCCAGACTGAATTATTTTATTTGCCTGGCTGCTTTCATATACAAGTTAGTGAGCAATTGAACAGCTGTAGCAGAGTAGGTGGCCAGTCAGTGGATCTGCTCTGCAGCTCCCAGCGACTACATTCTGTACGGAATCAAATGAAGGGCATTAGCCGAAGAACAATTTAGAAATTCAAAGTCACGGAAAGTCGAAGAGTTTAAAGTGTTTACACCAGGAAAGATGCATCAACAGCCAGCTGTTACTCAATAAGCCGTGGCCTGTGTCCATTAGGCCAGAGGAGTTAATAAGACATGAGACGGGCCGGACCCGAGTGAGGGATGAAGGTCATTGAGTCAATAAGCAGACTGCATCCATCCAAGATAGACAACACACACACACACACAATGTCTTACTGGTGAAATTTCCTCAAACCTACATTTAACTCTTTCCTCATTGGCAGACTGTTACTGTTACTATTGATTTGCCTTTTTTTTCTCTTTTACTAAACACCACACTGGTCATCATCACCTGTCCTTCTGTCTGACTCACCATCATCCTAATGCCAAACCATTACACTGACAGAACGCTGGATCATTTCCTGTCATCTCAAGTGTTCTCTCCAATGAGTGAGCCCAAGTAAAACAGTGACTCTCATGACCTTTCTTTTCCTAATGAACCATTCAAGTGGTGGCCTGATTTGTATTAATACGCATTTGCAGTTTGTTTGTTGTTTTTTTTGCATTATAATAACACAGTCTCACTGTTGCGTTGGCTACGCTTGTATGCAAGTGTAGCCGACACTAACATTTCACCATCAGCATCTGCATGTCAGTGTACAGTTTTTTGTTGGGTTTTTTTGACGTAATAAAATAACTGATAACCCAGTGAAGAGATGCAGTGGCTGACAGTAAAGGCCACTGGTGCAGCAGACTGATTACAGCCCGTCCTGGTAGGGCTCCTCAGTGTAATGGGACAACTGTAGATGAGTGTGTTTGTTTTTGAGGGAGGAGAATCATACACCTCCTACAGAGACTTGACATTAGTTCCATTGAGTGAGTCGACCATCTGCCCACCATTAACCCCAGAACCCTCCTTCTCTTTACAGGCTGGACAATTTGCTTAATATGGCCTATGGCGTAAAGAGGTAATTAAAACTTCACCCAATGCCAGATGTCCATGTTGAGTCAATATCCTTTTTTGTTCTCCATGGTTTTTATTTTTTAGTTTCAAATTTGTTTGTTTTTCAAATTTTGTGTTTTGTTTCAGTTTGTTTTAGTCACTTTGCGTTTAGCACTTTGTTAAAGGTCAGCTGCATTTTTGAATTCGATTTGTTTTTCCTCTCAGTTTCAGTTTTGTTTTTTTTTTCTCGTCTTGAGCTTGAGTTGGTTTCAAACTTTTTTACCAACCACTTCAAGTGGAAACATAAACAGAAAATAACTGATCTCTGTGTTCAGTGGTGATGAGTTTGCTTTGTTTTGATTATTTCAAGTGCTGGTGTTATTGTGTGTGTGTGTGTGTGTGTGTGTGTGTGTGTATTTGGCTATGGGAATTCTTATTTCTAGGTGTGTTGATTTCTTCTGGATTCAGGTTCATCTGCCTTGTCTCAACACAGTCTCAAAGTCACAGTGTGATTCACTACACTCACTGCTCAAATTCATATCTACAAACAGTCGTACAGTGAAATCATTAACACCACTGTTTACTTTCTAAATTTCTAAATTCTGATTGAAATATTTGATAGTAAAAAATATAGGTCGGATGAACCTGGATCCAGGCTGCAAACAGGAAATGCTGAGTCACTGCAGACGACTTGGCTTTGGCACTGCTCTGCTTGAATTCCCGACCATTGCCTCCATGCTTTCTTATGCTTTCTCACTGGTGTAGTATTGCATCATTGAACAGAACAGTGACCACAGTACTGACCGACGCATCATGCATGCTGTAGATGCTATCTGAGGCCAGATCAGCATCACATGTACAGTATGTAGTCTTTACCTTGCTAAGAATATTCTGGACAGAAACAAATTTGTGTACAACGAATCTGAATTCGATGAAATGACTAAATAATGAGGGCAGTTTGTTCAATTAATTTAAGGCCAATGTATCTTCTTGGCCAGAGAGAGCGCTAAACCAATAGCTATGTAATTGTTATACACAGAGAGCACAGTTTAGATATCTGGTCATCTTCTCTGTTGCTATGCAACCCCTGGTCTCATCTGTAGCATTGGTTAGTGTTTGGTCCCATGCGGATGTGTAAACTTGCACAGTCAACACACACACACACAGCAGCAGCAGCAGCAGCAGCAGAAAGAGAAACATTAATCACCTCCTGCGTGGCCTCCCAACTGTCACATCACACATTAGAAAACCTCTTAAAGCCTCTACAAATAAACAAAGCCCCGTAGGAGAGGTCTGAGGAGAGCACGGCAGCTCAGACCAGCCTGCATTGTGAAAAACCTACTCATGGTTCGCAAAATTAAATGGGATTGGAACCCTCACCTGGCCATCATAAATATAATAGATATGATGTCAAAAGTAATAAGTCACGCTGTCAATTTAGGGGGAAAACATGCAATCGTTTGTGAGCAGCATTGTTGGAGGCAGCGTTAACGGGGAATGTCCTACAGCAGGAAGTCAACAGGCTCTGATTGGACTATTTACTGGTCTCATCCTCATTGAGGAAGAAAGAGGAAGTCAGATGTTTGGCACGTGGTGTGTTTTTGCCCGTTCTTCTTGTGCAAGTATTTGAACAAATTCAAAATTCATTTTTACAGTTTCCTAAATCTCTTTTTTTTATAATGTGTCAGATATTTTTTATAGTAGCCAGAAGTTGTACAAAGATTTTCAACTTTGAGGAATAACAGGAAGTTTAATGTAACAAGCAGCAGACAACCACACATTCTCTACCGTCGCTCCGCTAACAGATCAGTTTCATGAGATCAAAATAAAGACAACATCAAATTGGAGAGACTAAGAATATTATGACAAATATGTTGATTTTTTTCCTAGCTTTTCTTAATTCCCTATTTTTAAAAAAGCAACTTTTTACTTTCTAAGAGACGTAAGTCTTAGTGAAAGTGCACTCAATAATTATATAAAGAAAATGTTTTTTTTAATGTCATTTACTTATTATTTAAAAGGCTTCTTTCCGCTTTCCTTTTAGTCTGAGTGGAGAGGCAATTAAGTGAAGTTAAATGAGGTTTCGAATCTTTCGCATCACAAAAACACAGCAGATTATGAGCGAGTGAGTGCGGATTTAGCAGGCTCTGGCATGATCTGAGATGAGTTCCGAGCAAAGGCTTTAATTCAACATCTTCCTGCAATTTAGTTCCTGAAGTAGCCACTCAAGGACACAAAGACAGAAACTGTATCTTTTTTAGACAAAAATAGCCCAGCATGCAGCGCTGCCGTCACTGCTGACAGAAGGCCATTCAGACGTCAGGGACCCAGGGAGTGCTTACACAGATACTCATTAATGCTACGGCGTTAATAAGTATTTTCAAATACTATCAACATCCACACATACGCATCAGTGTATCTTTAAAAATGCAACGCCACGCCAACTTAGCACTAGACCCTGTTTCTAAAGACTGTGGTGAATGGTTGAGCGCCCCAGGTGGTGAGTTTAGAGATATTAAAAAAAAAAAGATCAGATACAGGAGATAAAGATTTAGTTTTACTTTGTACCATAAAAATATGTTTGACTAAACCTTTTGTTTACTTCTGCTTCCTTCATCTCTCCCTACTCTGCCTGTCCTCTCAGGTTTTCTCCCATCACCATCGACAGCATGACCAGCCTGGTGGGCATGAACATCCCCGGCCACACGGGCACTGGCTGGTGCATCTTCGTCTACAACCTGTCCCCAGATTCAGATGAGAGCGTCCTCTGGCAGCTGTTCGGGCCCTTCGGCGCCGTCAACAATGTCAAGGTGATCCGTGACTTCAACACCAACAAGTGCAAAGGCTTCGGCTTCGTCACCATGACGAATTACGACGAGGCGGCCATGGCCATCGCCAGTCTCAACGGCTACAGGTTGGGTGACCGTGTCTTGCAAGTCTCGTTCAAGACCAACAAGACACACAAGTCCTGAACTTAATGGTGTAGAAGCAGGTGCCCCTCGACTTTGTCTGCTCCGAAAATTGCTCGCAACCTCTCCCCCCCGCCCACCTCCACCTGTCCCTCAACCCCCTACAGTCACTACCACCTTACGACAGCCATCCAATACAGCAAACTCAAACTCCAACTGGAACACAACGCAACCGACAAACCATCAAACCAATTGAACTAGAGAAATGGCTTATATTATAACTTTGGACCTATAAGCCAGTGTTGCCTAAGTATTACAAAAATGAAATGATAAAAAATGTTCATACTTTTTGGAAGCTCTTGTGATAATACAGGCTTCTCTTTGTTGTATATTCTTTCTGTTCGTTGTGATTGTTAAAAATGAATTTTCTCTTGTGTGTAAACAGTAGCAAACCCCCCGTATTCCCTTATTTTCGGAGAAAAGATTGTCCTTTTTAGATTGGAACCTTTTCTCTGTCTTGATTCAGGATTTTGTTTTTCTTTTGTAAATCCGGATCCACTGTCGTTAGTATTCTCGACCTTCCTGTCACTGAGGAGGAAGGGCCTCTTTTTTAAATTGGTGAACCATTCATTCATTTTTAGTGTGTCTTGAAAAATTCCCCTTATTAATTACAGACGGGATTCCACGATCCCGGTAAATCCTATTTAGGAGAGAAGAAAAAAAGACGATTTCTAACATTGTTTTTGTTTTGTATCGCAAACAAAACATAACGTCTTTCCTCACAGGGTTCAGGGAGATGGGGTAGGGGAGGGGATGGGTTAGCTTTCCTGATGACACGTTCAGTAATTTAAGAGAAAAAAAAAATATCACTGTTGCCAAAGAGAAGATCTCTTTGCTTGGAAAAAAAAAATACATTTAGAAAAAGATAAAAATAAAGATAAAAATCTATTTTTATAAATGATAATTAAAATAATAACTATAAAAGAATTTTTACAAGAATCTGGATTTGAAAAAAGAGAAAAATATTTTGACTGGCTAACTGGGGGAGGGCGGGGGGGGGGGGGGGGGGGGCGCCACCTGCTCTTGTCGTTCCGCTGTGGTACGTTATGGGATCACAGGCTGTTTGTTTTTTGGGTAAACCAAGTTGGCTGTGATTTTGTAGATGGAAGGTTTTCTGAAACGGGATGCAGCTGAGGCAGGTGATTTTGGTAATTTTTCACATATGTACTAGTGCGTGATTATTCAACAGCGATACCCAAAAGGTAAGGGAGCGGGGTCTTTCCAAGGCCTAACCATCCTAGTCCGAGCCCAAAGCAAGAAGACCCTTTGTCCACTTGTTTTCCTGTTTCCTGTGTTCCTTTCTGTCATCAATCAATATGGGATATCAATAAATAGATATATACACATCTATCCATGTAAACAGCATATGCATTATCAATATGATTTTATTCGCTCTGCGTTGGTGAACTTGCATTTGAAAATAACTTACTTTTAGCGATCAACAGTAGGTGCTATACTACATTATTCACATATCTTAAATATCCAAGTTTGTTGTTCTATGTGTTGTTTAATGGAAAAAAATACTTTGATGTTGGCATTGAATTGAGCTGCTGTTCTTTGTTTAAAAAAATTTGTTATTGTTGTTGGCCCTGAGAAATCTGGTTCTGAGACTATTTCTTTTGCCGACAAACCAGATACATGACACAGGGCCGTGTAAGAATCACACCGAACAAATTTTCATCTGTACATTTTCGTTTGTTCGTTTGTTCGTTTTGGTTCGGCTTGCTGACTTATTTGCTGAGCGTGAAACGTTTGTCCGACTTACCGATGATTAGCTAGTTCTGTTAGTCTAGATATTTGTTTCCTTAAAGAGGATCTATGACAACTGTGTCTTTATTTGCTGTGTACAAATAGATGATATATAAATATATATATAGTCTACATTTGTTTTCCAATATCTACTGTACTATCTGAGTTGTCACTGTTCTTTTGTTTGAGCTTGTCCTTTTCATATGGCAACTTATGAAGTGGTGGTTCAGTTACTTAGAAAAAAAATGTGAGGAAACTGTTCAATTGTTGTCATGTTGCTTGTGGAACAAAAAAAAAAGAGAAAAAAGATTTGGACTTTTTTCAGTTACACACCGCGGCAAAAGAAACCATACAAATGCTTGGAATATAACTTTTTTCTTTGATGGTCAAAATGTTTTGTTTGAAACAAAAATATTTATTTTGTAATTTATTTGTAATTATATATTTATTTATTAATTATTTATCTGTGTATTTATGTATTTATTTGTTTAACTGTCTGTGTATTTGCGTGATTCTGGTACAGGGAGGGGGCGTTTCTGAGCAAAAGGGAACAAAGCGACTAGTGGAGAGTCTCTTCCAGTAGTCCACTGCACTGAGAGAACTTTTAGTACTATTTGTGCTTTGTACCGATATATCAAAATTACAATATAAAAATCTAAAAGTCATGAAAACTGAAAAAAATGTCCGGAGGGTCGGGGGACGCTTCTCCCTTATTACTAGAAACAGTTACTCGCTATGCATAACCTAGTTAATAGTTCAATTTGCTATTGCTTTTTTCTTGTCTTGTTAAAATTAAATCTTTAGGTCTTTTTCAATAAAGTTTAGTCTTAATAGAATGTTATAAACGGTTGTTCTGGTTCAATATAACCTGTGATAAGTTTGTGTAGTTCTAAAAAGCCACTCCGTCCACACCCTGCCTCCACTTACTACAGCTTTGTGATGAAACCTTATGCAAAAATGTGGGTCTGAAAGCATAGTTTTCTGTTTGTCGTCTACATTTGATTTGACATCCAACTCTCAGAGATTGGGCAGACAGTTTCTAGAATATTAATGTGTGAGGGTCATTCATTGCGCGAGACTAAATCGTTTTTGGTTTTTTTTCTAAATTCATGTTTTCAATCTCCATACCAACAAATGTTTAAATATTAAGAACTTGTTACAATTGCACACCAACTGTTATTGATGACAGTTGTGCTTGAGAAGTACTCTGGATATAAAGAAAATGTATTGTACCAATTCTATATTTGATATACTCCGATATGATATATAGATTATATATTTTGAACGGTGAGCGGTTAGGGAACGGTTACAGAGGCATAACGATATAGAATTGGACAGAAGTTCCATTTGTTGTTAAGACTTGAAAACATGAAGGAGAGATGTGTGGAGGGCGGTGAGGACACGGTCGCAGGGTGCACCCTTCTCTCTCACACCTCGGTCATCTGAACTGGTCAGCTCACGTGACATCATCGCCACTGTCCAATCACAGTCTGTGCCATCCGATCACAGAGTGTTGTAACGTCATAACAGCAACAGGCCAACCCACCAGACCCCTCATGCTCCCGGCCTTCACTGGGAACTTGAATTATGCAACGACCCCAGTAGAATGTTGTTCTGACGTGTGAACTGATTTCCTACACTGTATGACTTTTGACCTCTTACGATGCGTGCCTGTTCCACTTAGACCCTGCGTGTCTGTCTGTCTGTCTGTGTGTGTGTGTGTGCGTGTGCGTACACGTGCATGTTCACATGCATGTTCTATGATGTAATGTATGTATGTGTGTGTGTGTGTGTGTCCCTGTTTGGTTTGTTACTGTAGGGTTAATTGGAGACCTGTGTATGTGCAGTGTCCAGTGTAAGTCAGTGAACTCATATGTTAACTGTTAGTGGTAATGTGTGTGTGTGTGTGTGTTTGGGTCTATTTACTACACACATACAAAAGTGAACCAACTGTGTGTGTGTGTGTGTGTGTGGGTGAATGGGTGTTTGAAACATGGGGCTTTGTCACCTCGCTCTATGCCCGACCCTTGTGGCTCCCACCATCCCCCTGTAGCGCCTTATAGTGGCAGTCTGCCAGTAGGAACAATGCAGCCAGAAGTGGAGGAGGGAAGGTGAACAGAGGAACTAGGCTCTTCTTGTTAGTTTTCATTTTCCTCCTGAGACGTGTTTGTTTATTATCTGAGAAATCTATAAACAAAATCTTTAAAGACAAAAAAGACGAAAAAATGTTCACAGGGACCCATGACTGGGGCTACCTACTCTCTCCTGCTTTTGTTATTACTTGACAATTATGTATGATTAAAATTCTTATTATTATGATTACTATAATTATTATGATTATTATAATTAGTATTCTTATTCTTATTATTATTATTAATCCAATTACTGCGATGAATGACTTCATGTTATCCTTGCTAGTTTAGGTCTGAAACTGGAAATTAAATAAAAAATCTTGCTGTAAATGTTTGTTTTTTTCCTTTTCATAAAACTGTTGTGTTTAAATTATTTGTACTTTTGAATGTTGGGACAATAAAATGAGGTGTTAAGAGCTGACTGCCTCCTGTCGTAATGTGAAAACATTTTGCATTTGTTACACAAAGCAATGGGCCTTATTTCCATAATGGCTACACTTTACTCCATTCATGTTTTACACAGAAAACGCCTGACCAATAAACACAGGTCTAACTGTTAGTCTTTTAGTAGTTTACTCAGAGAAAAGCAGTATTTACTTGATGTACACAGACAGTTTTATGAGGCTTTCATGACATTAGAGTAAGAAAAGAACCTATTTCTGTAGAGAAAATATTAGGTTTGAAGACACCAAATGTTTTTTTACTCTGATAAACAAATTCAGTTTTTAGGAAGAGATTTTTTTCTCCTGATGCCTAACTTGCCTTTACTGATAAGTTGGCCTGATATAAAGATAAAACTGAACAAGAACGGGGAGAATAGCAGAATATATCATATCACATATATATATATCTATATTAACTGCGACTGCTCAGGTATATTTTAGTATATATTTAATGTAGAAGTTGTGCCACTCACTTGCTACATTATTTTAAAGTAGTCCATGTTACTGCAGGGGTATCCCACACACTACACTGTAGCATGAAGTTTGGTCTGAAATATAGGTTAAATTCACATGAGTCCAAACAAGTCATGTCTTGTGCCACATTTATGAGTAAAATATGAAATAAAGAGGAAAGTCCAATGACCTCAGCGTTTCAGTAGAGCCATATCACTGAACAGACATCGACACATTTTACAGAGATTAACGCTTATATGAGTGTTTGACAGTTTTTGTATTATTAAAACTAAACTCTAGTCGTCTGTTCACAGTTCTCAAAGAGTGTTGCCAGCTCAATAAACACTTAACTTTGGTGTTAGGGGAGAAGTCACAGTGCTTTCCTGAAAGCAGGAAAAGCAGCAAAACTAAAAATAATTGCTGAAAACTCCATGTTACATACTCTACAACCTGCGACAGAGAGAGAGAGGGAGGGGAAGAGAGAGAGAGAGGGAGAGAGAGAGAGAGAGAGAGAGAGGGAGGGAGAGAGAGAGAGAGAGAGAGAGGGAGAGAGAGAGAGAGAGAGAGAGGGAGGGAGGGAGAGAGAGGGAGAGAGAGAGCTCTCCACACCAAGCTGTGTTCATCAAGGCTCATTTCTCACCATATTCTCTCACCAGGTGCCACCATATGAAACTCCCTCTCAGTTTCTATATAAAACACTTCTTATCCGCCTGGGTGCGAGTTGATCACACTCACTCCACAGTGTGAATGTCAGCTTCCTGCCACGCTGGGTAGCAGAAGGCAGTTCTGCCAAAACAAGAAGGATAAAGCCTGGCAGTCAGAAGCACGGTGGCTCACAAGGATCTTTCTCTGAATGACAACCTTTCGTTCGTTTGCTTTACGCTTTATTTCGGGACACATAATTGAAATAAACTGCAAAAAAAACAAAAAAAAACTTGTGACCTCGACTGGCTCGTGGAGAAACTGCAAACGGTGGAGGTATTTATGATAAAATTACAAAATCTGTATTTACTTTACATCAAATGAATGTTTCAAATGTCAACTTGAATAGCTTGTATTTATTATGATTATGTCATTGTCAGATATGCTTAAGATCCCCTTCCAGCAACTGAAACTGAGCAAGGACTTTGAGTTATGTAGGGCAGGAGAACAGGCCCTTGAAGAAGAAATGTTTGTAAAGGAATGATAACTGCTTTTACACAAGAGGCTACAAGAACACAGAAAAAGGTTGCTGCGGTTTTGCTTTGTTATGCAGCCTGATAGCCAACCATCCTTTGCTACATATTTAATCACATATACTACATATAAGTAATTCCTAAAAGCACAGAAAGTATAGAGTACTCGTGTAGTTGCTCAATGCCATTTGAGAGTCTCTGTTCAACAGCTTTTGTCACGCCAAGTTTGTGAACAGCGCTGATAGTCCCCCTGAAGAAGCGTGGTTTTTAAAAGTGCCTAATAAAGTGCTGGATCCTTCAAGAACTTTCATTCCCTGAGGGCGCTAGCTTGCAGTCTGCTCCCTGTTAAGACTCTTCATTTCATCACAATGTTCCCAGCATCAGGGGATATACTGGCTCGGGGGGAAACATTTCCTTCTACACACAGTTTGTCACCATGTTGTGACGTACAGTGTGTCACGCCATCACAGCGGTTTACGACTCACTACAGCGAAACCACGTGGAGTACAGTGGGAACCTAATCTGGGATTTACTGAAGCAAATCACACAAGGAGCCCAAAGAACTACACTGGTAATAAATGAGAACGTATACGACTTCCTCTACACCTGCTGTGTTTTACTAAGAAGAGTGACTTGTACGAACTTAAGTCTTAGTTCATGTCAGAACGGAGAAAACCTTTTAAAACCAAAGTACAAAACAACATTTTAAATATTTTTCTAAAAACACTGTCTGGCTCACACTCCTAATTTGCATTTGCGAAATTGCTAAATCAAATTAACAAAGCTGTTTTGTTAATTATGCAGCAGCCACAAACAAGACAGGACTTCAACTGCTGACGACCGGACCAGCAGATGGTACGTAAATAATGTATGTGGTCTCGTGGGGAGACCTACGTCTAACTCAGTTTGTTTTGATCCACCAACTGCAGCTCCCTGACATAAAGAGACCTCTGTGATTATACACATTTAACTATCAGGCCTGTTTGGCAGAGTGATTGATGCTCTAGTTATCCCTGAGTCAATGCTTTATTCTTCCACGTTGATATTTACCTCCACACTCATGTCTTTGCCATGTGACATTTGGACACTTTTCTTTGGCGTCTGGTGTTACAATGAATGTTGATACCTGGAAGTTTCTATTCGTTCTATTTCATGATTCAGTTGCCGACACTAACTCACACTCTCGATGCCCACACAAAGCCCTGCTTTCTGTCTTTAATGGAGTTAAATTTGGTTAGTGTTCAGTCGGTTTAGGTGATTCTTTGAACAGAAAGTGATTTCCCACCGAGGAAAACAGAAGAAAGTAGGAATTACATCGACTTTTTTCTGCTTTTGTGTTATATCGCCACTGAAAACAGAAACATCTAGTCAAGTAGGTTCTCAACAGCAACCCTCAACATTTTTTCCAGACAGTTTTCAGATCAGTAATGATGTAAAATGCAGCATGCTTTTAGCGAGTGAGAAAATAACTGTGGTAATTGTGGCAAAGGAAGGAGAAGATTAAATGATGACACACCGGCTAGTTTTCTGAAGCAATAGGAGCCACATTGTCTTCAGCAGAGATGATGATTGGCAAACAGGCCAGAATTACACTTGATAGAGGGCTGACTGACTTCAGCACAGACTGAGATGCTCACAGAACAAAGGATTGTACAAAAGAACAACCGGGTGCTATTGATATCTCCGTTTATGCTTATTTTCCTGAAGGCAGGTGGTGCAGAAAACGTCGGCTCAAAGCACAAATCCCTTTAGATTTTGGCTGAAAAAAAAAAGAAATATTTAATATTCTAATCAGAATCAGAAGTGGTATTTATTACCAAGTTCATTTACAGATCAATGATGATGATGAAAATAATAAATTGCAACAGACGAGTAACATCAAGTCAATTTTTCTTAAGTGATTAAAACATACTTTTACTCCTATTGCCACACGCATTTTCTTTTAAGGTTGGGGAACTGCAACATGCAGTACATTTTACTAACTGCATACGGAGTACACCAGGCTGGGGTACCACTGTAAGTCACGTTCTCAGATAGATTATAAGAAATGGATGGAGCGACATGGTTGCTCATACTGTTCTATGTGGGCTGGATGCTAACTATTACCTCAGCAACAGTGTTGAATACAACATGAACCAAAGCTTTTTCTAGTCTGGCAGATTCCTGACTGTACTGAGCAACAGCAACCCCCGCCCCAATTCGACGTCATGCTGTAATAAGGAGCCATAAAGAATGTAGCCTTAATTTACTATAGATTATCACCTGATTAGCAGCTGACTTTCTCTAAAAAATAAGAGTCCCGTCAGTTTCTGTTGACTTCTCTTACTCTGCCTGTATATAATATCTGATCATTTTATTTGTCCTTGCACTTTGGTCCTCATCTGTTAGTGCATCGACAAGACTTAGAAATGAAGACCTGATTTATATTAACGGTTGTTCAGAGGTCAAAATGATTCCAATCAGTACTTTTCATCTCTTCTTGGAATCAATGTTTCAGGTCGTTCCTAGAACCGGAGAAGCTAATATTAAAGCCTTCAAAACAAACCAGTGTTCAAACCAGCAGCAACCCATCGTTGTTCCTTAATAGCTGACTGGAATCATTGACTGCAATCTCCTCCAGTTTGTCTTCTTTTGTAGTTGATTATTTCATGTCGTGTCGATGAAACGTTGCTGTCAAAGTTCTTATTATAGTAGCTACAGCTAGCATGGAAGCTTCTCCAAACATAAAACTAATCAAACTGCACAAGGAACATAAATGTTCTGGTACTAATTAATCCAAGTGTAACAAAAAGCTGTACCTAATGGAACAAAGAAGTTCACGGAACCGTTGCCACGGTGTTGGGTTTTGGCAGAAACATTGAGGCAGAGTTCTGAGTGGAGCAGTTGCTGATGGTTGTGGTGATGGTGACAGTGAGAGCAGTACTGGTGAATGAAGAGCTGCAGGCTCCAGATCCCCTCCTGTTTGTTTAGAGGGACACGCAGCAAAGCTGCACTGTGTTCAAATCAAGGCAGCAAAGCCGTCTCTAACACCCAAACACTGGCTCTCGCCTCGGCACGCTATTTCCACATTTCTGCCATTTTCCACATTTCTGTCCATCTGCCTGACTGTTTATCTCAACGGTGTGTAGACTGTTTCCCGCTCGTGGAAGGAAACAGATAAGTGCATACGTAGTAGAGCATTTGAATCTCTATTCATGTCATTCCTCTGTGCACAGAGCTTCCTCCTCAGCGTGTCTGTGTTCAGGCTTTAGCACGCTCACATATGTGACAGTGGGTGATTTCAGCTCTGAGAGCCCAGTCCTCAACCATCTGTCACAGAGGGACCACCGTGTTCTCAGGCCAATCGTCTTCTTTCAACAGCATCTAGGATTCTCGCACTGCCTTCCAACCACGGCCCAGCAGCCAAACACACATTTACACACAAACACAGACAAACATGTACCACACATGTACCACAAATACTCAGTTACAGTGCTTGAACTGTTGAGATCAACAGTCAGTGTTTTATGTACTACGGGTTACTGCAGATGGATGGTGGACGGCTACAGCCTTTTTACATTTCTTCACTTTTAAAAACGTAAATGCCTCAAGGCCTCAGCTGTTAGTTTGGAGCAGGCATGGGCAAACTAAGGCTCAGGGGCCGGATGTGGCCCGCCAAACTATTCCAAATTATATAATTTATTTATATTATCATTATACTTCTGCCTTTTGACTGCAATACCCACATTTCCCCAATAGATGGCGTAGAAAATGATAAAAGCATTTTAGCATTTTATGCAGGACTTACATGTCATTTATCATAATTCACACAAAATCTCCATCTATCTCCTCCTGACCCGACCCCCCTCTACAATTTTAGGACAATTGTGGCCCAGGAGTCACATAGTCAACATGGAATTAAAAGTCCACACATTTAACAATCCTTTAATAAAATCAGTTTCCAGATATAATGTTACAGCCAGACTAATCAACCACCTAGGAACGACAAGAACCCATGAACTTCACACAGAGAGAAGCAGGTGGAACTCCAACCAGTTGGCTGTAGAAAAGCACTGTTTACAAATATGTCGTGTATTTTGAGGATGTGGTTGTATTCATAGATTTGTTTGTTTGGTATCTTAAAATATTCTGAATGTCTTTTCCTCCAACATGAACAGAGTGGCCAAAAGTACCGTCTGCTGCTCCTGTTACATCACCACATTGCACTGTTGTCAGCAATAATCTGTGGGAAGACGTGAGAACATTTTCCTGAAGGACAACAAACACAGCAGAACTCCCCAAATGAACAGTCCAAATGCTCAAAACACAGTATGTGTCCAGCCTGCCTGCTATTTTCAAATTAGCAATACAGAATATTTTAAATTTTTAAGTGATTTTTGTGTAACGCACAGAGGTACAGTTTAGAAAATGGTTTCATCTCCTGAGAATAGGGTCTGCATTTGACCTGACCTCAAACACACATTTGTGTTAGTGAGAAGACATGGAGTTCTAGTTGAGTGATTTAAAAAAATACACATTTTGACTGGAATCTTTCTGAAAATGAAACGTTCACTAAAATCTATAATTTGGTCTTTTATTGAGATTCTTCTATTGAGAAACCATTTTTAAATGGAACCTGTTTTAAAGTGGACATATTGAGCTTATGTTACGCAAATAATTATTGAGCCTTAACTTCTTTATTCAAACAAATATGATGGATTTTTTTTTTAGCACAGCGTGGTTCTGTACACTATACTGTTCAACAGAGAGGCCACTTTCTCTGACTTTACCTTTAAATGCTAATGAGTCCTTACAAGCCCCGCCCAGTTTTCATCAACACTTTGGTGGCTGCAGTGTCTGTCACATGCATTACTTGCCAGACACATATATAAATGTACAATCAGTAACGATGAGTTGTTCTGCTGTAGCCTGATCAAACAGAAGAGAAAGGTGTTTCTGCTTCTGAAAATAAAAGTCACATTTCAAATTACATTTAGTGTTCATCAATGGGGGCATCAATGTCCACTAAAAAGTGTCTGATGGGCATTAATGTCTCGGAGTTTTCAGAGGGAGATCATTTGAAGCTAATCCAGTTCAGTCTGGTGTTGAATCCTCGCCTCAAATAGAGCGCCATCATAAAAAGTTTCCAAATGACTCTTGTGGCAAAGTCATTTTTATATTTTCTGGATGTTAAACTTGTATTCAAAGGAAAGGTTGAGAGAGAGTGATTAGTGAGAGTGAGAATGTTATTTTCAGTTGTATCATTACTCTTAAAAAAAAACATGGCAGAGACATTGTTTAAAAACGCAGTAAAACTGAGTTACAGTTTGGAGTTTAATATGAAAAAACAAACAATGTGATGATGGAAAGTAAACCACAGTAATACTCTGGACAATTTGTCTGTGTCACTTCCACCTGCAGACAGCAGAAGTAAAAGGCTTCTCTGCCAACACCAAGTGTCATTACCTCTGTAGGAGACATCAAGTCGGATAACAAGGCAACACTGGCAGTATAACCAGGCCAGAAAAATGCATGGACACCAAAACATGTCCAACAGTAGTCTGATAGTATTGTCAAACAAAAGTAGATCTTGACTAGTCTTCATGTTATGTAAAGTAGCCAGTATTTGAACTGTTCTGCTGATGTGCCAGTCCACCCTAGTGATTACCATCAGGACTCAGATAGACCTGATCTGGCCAAAGGCTGGACCAGGGACCGGTGCCAGACTGTAGGACTTACTTTACTTCAGTTTTACTAATTTACTTCCAGTCATAGCACCAGAGATAATCTGACAATGTTTCAAAACAATAGGTCATTCAGACTCCCATAAAGACAGAATAAAGAAATAAACTGCACAGTGGTGCAGTATTACTGGTCCACAGTTACAGCCAACACCAGCTGAGTGACAGAGTTACATGAGGAAACAAACAAAGTGAATTACTCACTTATTAATCTGGTGATCCACGGTACAGACTGCAACCTAAAGGTAAAGAATGAGTGAAAACTGTAATACTACTACTACTACTAATACTACTACTTATGTACTTGGTTGATAACAAACACCTTGATGTAAAAACAACACCTTGTATTTACATCTGTATGTGGAGATAATTGATAAATGTTGTTCATTTTTCTGATTGGCTATTACAGCTTCCTTGATATTATATAATACTGTCAGTTGATTGGCCATCAAACGATGAACTCCACCCCCCCCACCACCACCACCACCCCCCAGGGCAGATTAGAGAATGAGTGGTTATTACTTCTCACTCTGAGGGCTGCAGTGAGTCCTCTTCTTTCACATGAGGTCAGTCAGAACCTGACTGA